TAAATGAGCCCGGCTTTCAGTACTTCTGAGTACTTTGATTTGTAAATCATCGCTTGATATTGTTAGAGGCTGAGGATTAACTATGTATTGTGCCGGATAACCAATATGGGAGGGTGGATGTTGCAACATTGACGAGGGATGCGTGTCAGGGGTGGAACTACAGACCGGCGCCCCGAGTTGATTGGACGTACCCTCCATACCTGAGTTGTTTAATGATCCCTCTCGAGTTTTTTTACTCGCAACGTCAGAATATTGCAGTGAAATGTCACTTAGATTACGTTTGTTTTTATCACACATACTATGAAAATTCAATTTTAATATAACAAAGAGTGTATGAGAGTGTATGAGCAGTGTTCACATAGTTACCTCAACCACAAACGTAAACAAAAACTTTCCATAAACCTCCTCAATCTCAAGTCAAACATTCATGTGTCCATCGTCAAGCCTCCTTCAATGTCCTATCAATAAAACCGGTCATTTCACCCGATCACCACACTTTAGTAGAAGAAATTACATTTTTTGGTGAGAGCGAAAACAAAGTGCAGCCATACAACAAGGGCCACAACTCGATTCTTTTGGTACCCCTTTTACACTTGGGTGGAGTGAGGAAATTCGTGTAAAAAAATGATAATTACCACAATACACTCAAATATTTCAGAATATTCATAATGTTTAAATTATCTGAAAGCAATTGTTTTAATTTTATATAGTATTTGGGTGGGATAATTTCTGCATTTTTCAAGACAGCTTCAACGACAGAAATCTCATTGGGAAAAAATTCTGTCAATAAATATTTCTAAATTCACGGTTGAATGTAAGTCCTCTATCGTAATTATTTACTGTAAAAATATTACAGGGTGAAGCTTACCTCAATATCGCACGGAAGCATGATAAAAACTCTTAACGTTTGTATTTTCCGAGTGCGGGAAATCAATTGTGAAGTCACACGAAAATATAAACATTCAAAATTATCTTAATAGAGAGAATCTCTGCTACTTAATACGAAAAAATATTAAATTAAAAAATCTGCTTCAGAAATTTATCACGATACAATGAAATAATTAACTGATCATGATGGGTGTGTGTACTTGATCTCGCTGCACTGAGAATTCAAACACTACGTCTATGACGTCACTGACGTCAGACTGCAGGGTAAAAAGAAACAAATGTGTGGATTGGGCAACTTCACAATATCTAAATGATGGCAAGATCTTTAAACTAGAACCGCTGACACTGGGGCCATGAATGATCACGAAGCGAACGCTCTACCACTAGGCTACCGTGACCGGTTTTACTCCTGGACATCAAGCAGGCAAACTGTTGGCATGAATTTAATGAGTATTGAGTCCTCTACCAAAATTGTGAAATTCATGGCCCCAGGGTCAGGGGTTCTAGTGCTAGGGCGGGGCTATATAGATTACTAGTATATAGTGAAATTGCGTGATTTATTTGAAAATCTTCTACTCTGGTCCTGAGTAAACTAACCAAGCACATAGTTATGATGAGCAAGAGTGCCTCTTCCAAAATTGTGAATTTTATGACCCAGGGTCAGTGGTTCTGGTGTTAGGGAGGGGCCCTATTGGTTACAGTGAAAATGCATTCATTCTTTGAAAATCTTCTTCTCTGCTCCTAGGTATTAAAAAACTAACCAAGCACACAGTTATGATGAGCAAGAGTGCCTCTTCCAAAATTGTTCATTTTGTGGCCCCAGGGTCAGGGTTTCTGGTGTTAGGGAGGGGCTCTATTGATCATAAAGTGAAAATGCATTAATTCTTTGAAAATCTTCTCTGCTTCTGGGTATTAAATAAACAATGTAAGTACATAGTTATGTTGAGCAAGATTGCCTCTTCCAAAATTGTGAATTTTGAGGCCCCAGGGTCAAAGGGTTCTGGTGTTAGGACGGGGCTCTATTGATTATAAATGAAAATACATTAATTCTTTGAAAATCTTTCCTTTGCTCCTGTGTTTTCTCCCAATGATCCAAGTATATAAGAAAGGTGTATCTAGCAAAATGGTTATTTTATGCCCCCCCCCCCCTGGTTGGGGGGGGGGGGGGGGCGGGGTACATAGTCTGAAAATAAATTATTGCTTTGAAATCTGCTCTTTGGTATTAAACAACCATTTTATGATCAAATTTGCAAAATTTTGAAATATGTGGCCCCCGAGTCAGTGGTTCCTTTGGGATGAGGTGCACAACTGGTTATAAAGTAGAAGTGCATTTTCTCTTAATGTTATTCTGATCTACCTCTGGATATTAAGTAAATAGAGTAAACATGCTAAGTCTATACTTATGATAAGCAATTTAAAAATTGTGAATTGCAAATTTCATGGCCTCTGGTTAAAAACACGAACCAAATTTAATTGTTTGAAAGTTGTTGCACAATACTCAGGTAACCTATAAGGCCCGTGGGCCTCTTGTTCTTTATTCCCATCTTATGTGCTCAGGTGAGCGACGTGGCCTATTGGCCTTTTGTTCTCTATTACAATATACTTGTATATCAACGGCATGATTTCTGTTTTTTTTCTACCAGTGACATTAAACTTTTTTGGAATGATTCCCTATAAGTCAACCTCATGACACACCCTCGTTGACTCTATGTTAACCCCCTCCCCAACCAGCTTCGTTTGCAGAGATTTAAAATGTTCACAGCTCCACTATATCTAGTGAATCAGTTACATGTTCTTTTAAGCGCATAAGATGCAGTAAGGAATTGTAAAGGTTCTTAACATTATCCCACGTGGCCATTTCCCTGACATGAATTTTGTTGAATCTTTGTTCAAACTGTAATTTGTCTCCTTGAAGAACGATGAAGACATATCGCACACCGTCTGTCAAGATGTTAAAAAGAGGCATGTTTGTCTTGTTTTTGTTGTTCGTTTTCCTTGTCAGGCGCTCTGTTTGAAGTATACAGAGTTCTAGGACAGCTTGAACTACAGAATCTGGCTTGAGAGATCTAGAGCTCTTGGCTTCGACTGCTCCAATAACCTCCCCATTACTGTTGACGATTCTATAATCAAATTTGCAATTGGGGAGATAAGAACAATCCACATTTCTTTCAATTTCAACAGAAAGGTTTAAACATGAACAGAGTGGAAAGAAAATTTCATTTAGTATAAGCCTTGTTCCCACTTCTGTTCTACACAGAGACTCAAAGTTACAAGTTAGCGTTTCTTCTTTTTCATGTCCGAAAAATTTAACTGTTGAGGATGCTATATGGATTCTTCGTTTAAACTCGGAAATCATCTGATCTACTTGTAATTCATTTTCACAAATACTTTGTTGAAAATCCAACTCTTCCACAGAGCTTTCGAAATCGAAATAGCGAGAAAATAAGTCTAAATTCCATTGAGAACAGGGCTTGTCGATGTCTTCTTTTTATTCGGTGTACGTTCAGCTCTAATTCGTGGTCTTTCAATTGAATGCTCCTTTTCAAGGGAAGCCAGATGCTGTGGATTTACGTCTGCCACTATGTCGATTCCATCCACTTCCAGATCAGGCGAGGACAGATCTTGTTGAGGGAAAGCAATTGGTGATCTCTTGATTTCGCCATTGGCATGGCTGGTACTTGTAGATTTCATATTTGAGGTGCCATTTCCTAGTAATACATTATCAGTTGTGGTAAGGGCCTGTACCGAGACACAGTTAGATTATTCTAACTAAGTTACCTTATGACCTACATTGCATTATGTACCTACATGTCTATACTTGCTCTATCAATGATAGAGCAAGTATAGACATGTAGGTACATAATGCAATGTAGGTCATGATAGTATCATGCACGATTGAGAAACGTATGTCGCCTATGACTAGCTGTCGCATTCATTTGGCGGATCCAAGAAACCGTTTAGGCAGTTGCGAAAAAGCTCCTGACAATCTAAAAAACAACCCATTCTCTTTAAAATGATAATTTCATTTAAGAACGTGCAAGAACAGAATAATTCCGAAATACTATTATTGCTGATGTGTTTTAGCATGTTCAAGCTTTAATAAATAAATGATTTTGTGTTTTATGTGCCAGGAAAACGTCAGAACCGGCGCCATGATGAAAACTGGGAATTCGCCGCCTCCAACCCAAGGTGGCATTTTTGGGTTGATCTTCGAACCGAATTAAATGTCAAACTAATAACCAATCAATAGTACAATACTTTTAGTACTCATCAACGTCGTTTTATGGTTTGTTCATAAAAATCGAAGAAACAATTAAAATATCTTGACCGAGAGGTTTTCATTTTGTGCATTTTAAAATTTTGCTAGTCTTGTATCGTAATGTGGACTTATTTCCGAAATAAGTACCTTCTTTTGCATCACGTGTCCTGGGTTTACTTTGCAAAAATTCAGACAACAGTGATATATAACCCTAGCACCCCACATAGTTCATCAGTGTTTAGAGTTTTCTAAAGTATGGTGCAGTGCTTATCGTTTTATAAATAAACATGTCTATTAAAATGAAGATGTCAAAAAAAAAAATTTGAAACAGTAAGTAAAATGACAAATAATTTATTTTCAAGACTTAGAAAAAATAATTATAGAGAGGACTGAATTGGCTGAGCATGCTGCCTAGTCCCATTCACATTTGTAAATATAAGTAAAATATTGTTTAAATAAATGAGGTATAAAAGTAGATAATATTTCGTGTCATAAATAAAAAGTAGATAATATTTAGCGTCATAAATAAAAAGTAGATAATATTTCGTGTCATAAATAAAAAGTAGATAATATTTAGCGTCATAAATAAAAAGTAGATAATATTTAGTGTCATAAATAAAAAGTAGATAATATTTAGCGTCATAAATAAAAAGTAGATAATATTAAGCGTCATAAATATAAAATTCATATTAGTAACATCAAATTTTTATCCCTGCATCTAAAATAAAATACACCTGATAAGAAGTGTTACAAGTAAATAAATTCACTTTTCACGTTTTCTCCTCTTTTTATATTTACCTATAACGCTAAAATATGGCTAAAATACTACCGACTACGCAAAAATATTTAAATAAAAAAAATCATCACAAGTAATGTCTCATGTCTGTCTTCAGATGAAGGGTCAACATCCCTTGTATTTGTTGATCAAAACATTTGAAAATGATGAAGAAAAACAAGTTTCCGATTCATTCCCTAGAAAGTTAAATGGTGGTCATTTTCTAAGAGGATAAATATCCTGACACCTATTTCTAGATTAAGGCCATTTCAATCAGCTCTACGTCATTTTCATTGGTTGATAGATCGATAACTTCCGGCGGAAGTGTTTGTTCTCGCATCAAGGTCACCAATGACCTGTACAGAATTTTCACATCGTGCCACGATCTGACCTCTCTCACGGAAACCCTACCATCAACCTGTTCAAACTGTAATTTCTTTCCTCGGAGAACGATGAAGACGTACCGGATACCGTCTGTCAGAATATTGAAAAGAGGCGTGTTTACAACTTGGTCAGTGTCTTTTTTGACAAGGTGTTCAGTTTGAAGTACACATAGTTGTGTAATGGCCTGCACTATTGATTCTTGGCACAGAGATCCTGCGCTCTTTGCCTCTACTGCTCCAACAGCGTCCCCATCTGAATTAATTATTCTGTAGTCAAATCTGGACTTAGGGAGGAAAACGCAGTCAACAGTCTTTTCAATTTCAATCGAAAGTCCCAGATATGCACAGACGGGGAACATGATTTCATTTAAAACTAATCTTGCACCGATTTCAGTATTGCACAGGGAGATAAAATTCAGAGTTTCTTCTGTTTTTTCTACATTTTGTTTGAAATTAGACGAAGCAATTGTCATTCTGTACATAAAGTCTTCTATTATTCTGTCTAAGTCGCCTTCACGGTTGTCAATATTTTCTCTCAACTCCAACTTTTCCACACAGTCCTTGAAACAGAAGTAGCGAGATAATAACACAATATTCCACTGAGAACACGGTAAGTCAAAATCGTCTTTTTTATTGGCAATTCTCGCAGACTTCGTTAAAGCATTCCTCGCTCGTCGTCGCTGCACAGAGTACTTGTCACCCACATGTAGTGTATCAATATGAATACTGAATTTCGATTTCCCCTGAATATGCTTATTTTTAATCCAAGGAATCAGCTTTCCTTTGTTTCTCCTTTGTTTGGTTTTCAAACTATTTGTGAACATACCATTTTGCTTATCAAAAGTGTTCGGAGTTTTAGGACTTCCATGACGGATTTGTGAGTAAGAGGTACACGGCTCCTCATCATTGATTACTATCGGATTATCTCTGGAATTTTCATTGGAAGCATCAATTTCGGAGAAAGAAGGTTGTGTATCAGACTCGTGAAAGGAGGCGTTATTTTGCTGTGTCGGTGCGTTCTCTTGAGCTTTTGGTGGTTCGAATGTTATACTATAAGGTTTATCTTTCATCAACTTTATTGCAAATTCTTGGGACAAACAATCATTTCCAAAATTTATATCAAAAATTTTGATGCCATGGCAATTTTTAGCCTTGCGCTTAGATTGAAGAGGCTGTAAAAAGTTCCTCCAGTTTTCTAGATTTTCTACAAAATATGTACATGTATAAAGTCGTCACTTAATGGAACAATAATGAACATACAAATTTACTTATTGGAAGAGTAAGGAACATGTCAGTGTACTAGGTTTCTTATCCAGTACAAATATGAAATTTTATTAATTTATTTTTAAAACTGGCAACCACTTTTCAATAATTCAATCACATATATCTGCATTTATTCATCTAAAAATTAAGACCTTTGAATTTGCTAGTTTTCAAATTATTTCCTTATGATTAACCACTGTTTTAAGTATAACACAATATTTTTTAAAGTAAGAGGCTCTTACTTTCTGAGGGTGTCCAATCCATAATGAATTCACCCTCAGGCTATAAAACCATCATGAAAAACACTCCTTATAGAGATACAATGTCGTATGCTATCTAATGATCTACCTTTTTTGTCCCCTGCTTTCACGAAAGCGAGGGGACATTAAATCTCATTCGTCTGTCTGTCTGTCAGTCTGTCCGTCACAAAAACTTTAACCTTGCCCATAACTTTAGATTTAGTGAAGCTATGACTTTCATATTTCACATGTGTATTCCTTGTGACAAGACCTTTCTTTGGGTACCACCAAATTTGACCTTTTGACCTTGACCTTGGAGTTTGACATACTTTTACACAAAAATTCCAAACTTTTACTTTGGCCATAACTTTTGAATAGTAGGTACTAGGACTTTCATATTTCACATATTTATTGTTCGTGGCAAGACCTTTCATTGGATAACAACAACCTTGACCTTTTGACCTTGACCTTGGAGATTTACGTACTTATGAAAAAATTTTAACCTTGACCATAACTTCTGAACGGTGAGGACTAAGGCTTTTGTACTTCACATATGTAATCCTTGTGAGAAGACCTTTGATTGAATACCAACAACTTTTACCCTTTGACCTTGACCTTGGAGTTTTAACTACTTTTTAAAAACTTTAACCTTGGTCACAACTTTTAAACAGTGGATACTAGGACTTTTATATTTCACATATGTATTCCTTGTGGCAAGACATTTCATTGGATACCAACAACCTTGACCTTTTGACCTTGACCTTGGAGATTTACGTACTTTTGAAAAAACTTTAACCTTGACCATGGCATAACTTTTGAACGGTGAGGGCTAGGGCTTTCGTACTTCACAAAAAACCAACTTCAATGTTACTTTCTAAATAAATTACATATGATAATATGTTCATATTACACACAATATGTTATAAAAAATAACATCTCACCCACAAAGACACCGAAAGTGGGGGACCCCAATTCTTTGAATTTGCTTGTTAACAGTATAAACAAAATGTATCCTTTTGAAATTGCTATAAATACTACAATGTACATTTTAGCATCTTTGATCATGTTGATAGTGAAGGTTTTTCAGTCTGCTCTGCTCCTTATAAAAGGGAACAAAACAGTCCAAAAACCCTTGGCTAGCAAAGAATCAAATGACATTTTTGTAGAATACAACACAACAATCTACAATGTATTGTAAATTATCAAACATTCTCAATTTTTTATGACAACTTTAACAAATTGGTTACCTATGCTCAAAGTAAAATGTGACATACCGGTATATTATGTGTATATCACAAATGCAAAACATTTACATCATAATCCTTTAGATAAATACTTTCTTACCATTTGTGAAATCTTTTTATTTAAGGAGAAGAAAAGAAAAGTTTATAATACCATTCTGATCAGTCTCCATCATCCACCTGGTCTGTTGTCAAATGCTACATGTAGTTTACTGGAAATGAGCAACCATCAGTTTTAAACAACTTGGGTGTCTTAGTTAGTGGTATTTCTGTCAAATAATATTCATATACATATGCACTTTCATGAACATGATGAATTAACATTATTTTCAATGCGTTATCAGATTGTCAAACTGGTAAACAAGTAGAATTTCTCACAGATTTATGGCAAAAGCTGTATTGATTCTCTGTTTACATAATAGAGGGCGGAGCCCTCTCACGGGCCCGAAGGGCCCGTGAGAGCGAAGCTCTCCCTATAGGTAACACGTATGTATATGAAAAATAAAAGAAATCTATTGTAAACTATATGTCATTTACAATACCTATGGAACTGAGATTCTTGTCGCCAATATGGCGTCGTCGCTAAAATGGCGTCGATTTTATCCACGCGCTAATTCTCGTTGCTGATGAGACTCATCAAAGTAAAAAACATTTTACCCAAGGATAGTGTTTAGTGATTCTTTTCAACTTCAAATCAAATCCATTAGTAATCAGGCCCTTCCTACTTTCGGTTTAGACGCTTAGGTTTTATAGGGTCTGAAAGTCTCGTCACGTGACTCGCGAGATTTTACGATAATTTTCACTTCCGGGCAGCTCAGACATTAGAGTTGTGTATTGATTTAAGCATGTTTCTGGTTTATACAAAGCTTTCGAGAAAAAGTTAAGTAGTTTTACAAAGCAGAAGGGTTCTCCGACTTACGATGGATGAATTGCGTGCCTTAAAAGCTTGGGTGCGAGTGTTAACGAGGAAAATTTCGATCAAAGTACAGGTAAACAAGTCAGATAATGTCATCTGTTTCGTGTTTATTTTTAGCAAAAAAGAAGTGTTTCATGTCATACACGAATGAAAAAGTTTCCCAATCATGTATTCAATTAATCTGTTCACAGATTTTTCTTAAATCAGAGGACGATAATGTTATTATCAGCTGATTACAGAGGAAGAGTTTTGTCAGTGTCCGATGGGTACAAACGTCATATTGTGGCTGCATCACTTTTGTTTGGGTAAATAATTTATTAAAAATACGATTTTTCGGTAAGTTTTACCTGTTGTATGTCAGTGGATCGAGAATTGAATATTTGTGGACATTTATCAGTTCTGGTACGATCACTAGATTTAGCTACGTAGCTTTATTTACCTACATAGCTTTATTTACCTACCTGAGGTAGCTTTATTTAGCTACCAACTCAATTTTTTTTTATAAGCCTCCCTAGTATGAATATCAATAGTCTCTTTATTGCGAGTTTTTGTCTCTTTTAAATAAAAAATAAAATTTTGAAAAGTTACATTGAAATAGCTAAATAAACCTACCTGAGGTTGGTAAATAAAGTTACGTAGGTAATTTTACCTACGTAGCTAAATCTAGTGATTGTACTGGACCCCAAGGACTAGATGTTTACATATTTTGCTAGTTCTCTGTATTCAACATTTAACAGCTGTTTAACATGTTTAACAAAATTCATATCGCTACAATAACAATTTTTACACAACCAAATTTCTTAATTAAAAAGTGTATGTTCCCTGAACATGGTGTGGGCAATTGGTTTAATTTCTATCTGTTCAATTTATTCCTTGATCTTGGTTACATAATTACATTAAAACTTGTTCTTTATAGCAGAAGTACAACTGAGAACGTGGTTGAGGAACACAGCTGAAAGATGCAGTTGCTTTAAGCAGTACCTAAGATTTTGATCAACATTCTTCAAAATGCAAATCAAATACAGGTATGAAATTGATGCAACAAAATATGTTCTAGGGCATAGGACGATTTTCACCTTAGTTTGGACTTTCAGTAGGGCGTGGCATTCTCTGGGGGTAACGGGTTTTTTCGCCGGATATACCTGTTCGCAAATGTTCATTAGCGCAGAATCTGTTCGCCGGAAATATTTTCGCCCAATATCTTGTTCGCCCTATATGAGGTTCACCAATGCTTTTATATACTTGTATATATATGAATTAAAAATTAACATACAAGTTTATCATTTTTTTTTCTATTTATTTCCCTTACGAACTTGAATTTTTTTTTTCTCAAATTCTGATATGATCGAAGAGCAATAAATTAATTTTTGATTTGATTCTATAGTAAGTTTTTTTTTAATAAGTAAGTGTTTGCACTATAGTAAATTAGATGATTAATATCAATGTGAAATAGGGGGATACATCCGTGTTATTTCTATGATTTGCACGATGTTTTGCTTTGAAAACAATTAAAGGACTGAGCCGTTAATAGGTGTGACCGCTGACCATGCACATGTATAACGTCTGACGGACACAGTGACGATCTGTTTTATTTTGAATGTACAAAAATTAGGAAAGAAATTCATTAGACTTTATTCTACTTTAAATTACGGTGAACAAACCCTGTACGAACAAGTTTTAGGACGAGCAGAATCTGAGCGAACAAGAAATCAGGCGAACAAACATGGAACCCTCTCTGGGCTACATAATGGGTATACAATTAGGTAACGTGAAGAATGCCACGTCTTACTGAAAGTCCACACTAAGCTGGTAAGTTCTATACATAGATAAAAGTTATTCTCATACATGGTAAATCATAGAATGACAAAAACTTAAAAAGGTCTGTTATTGTCCATTGATGCTTTACCCTCAACCCCCACCCCACAGTTTTAGACATTTACCCATAATTTATCTGTACTGTCATCTCACCTCACTATTAAAATTGGGTGAAACAGCCTTATATACTGATTAAATGTATAATTTTATATTACATATATGGAATTTTTTTTAAAATAACAAATAAAATAGACAACATTGGCCATAATTTAAAATATTCTTATTTGATTACTCTAACCCACTTTTTATCAAGGTTGGTTGGTAGGTAATTTTTTTTGGCATTACAGTATTGAACGAATTGATAATTGTTATATTAAAAAATCACAGACATTAGACAAAATTATACCTTCGCTTAAAACATCTATGGAAATAAGGGGGTGGGGAATAAAAAAAAATGAAGTGCTGAAAAAAATTAATTTAATGGGTTGGGATGATGTTGACAGGTTAGTCGGAGTACATCAAAATTTTTTTTATTGTTAGCCTTGGTAGGGGCACCCTAAATATGAAGATATAACAAATGCACAATTTTTATACCAGAAATTTTAAATGAAAACATTTTGTGCGTGTGTATAAAAAAGACAATTTTTATTCTGATTTTCTTCTAAAATTATAGAAGATTCTGATTTGTGTCAAATAAATAGATATTTGCCAGATTTACACCAGCAACTCATTATTTGTCAGGCACCTAATTATTATCAGGTGTGCATACAACTGTGCAAAATAACCAAAATTCAAATGACATGTAACAGAAGATTGTTTAATTACAGGTTATTGTCTGCACATCTTGCAATGGATGTTTTGATTGAGAACTTATCGAGCATAAAGACCAGCCATGTACCTATCCTGTCATGACATTATTAAAGGTAAGTAGCCCTATCAGCAAAGGATCGAACAAAGCAAAACCTTCATCTTCAGAAGATTTACATTTAATAATAATTGGTAATTTATTTGAATTCCTGTAGAATGTTATGTTACATACCATTAAAAAAAAATATTTAATCAAAATCCCTTTTATTTCAGTACTCTGTGACAGTGGGAAGATGTAATTTAAAACATGACATGGCTCTATGTTACTGCATCATATATCGAGCCAAGTTTACTTATAAACTGAAGGAAAACAGTCAAGCATCATTTGGAATTGGAGCTACGTATATCACCGCCTTCACAATATGCCAGCTTACATAACCAAGAAAGCACAGTTACCAGTTGTACCTATGATGTCGGACGAGATCCTGAGAATTCTTTCAGTGCACTCATCACTACCTGCAAAGAAAAGAAAATTTGAAATGACTTGTATCAACCCTTTTGTATTTCATCTGGCTTGTACTTTTAGTACTCATTATCCTTTAGACCATTCCAAGTTTTTCCTATGTTTTTTTAGCGTCCGCATGCGCCTTGGTTTTTGACACCCCATATAAGAAAAAACACACAACAGCAGGAGTCCTGAAATCGATTAAGAAAGAGGGCGTATAAGGCGTGTACAATCCCCCGCTCTGAGACAAAACGTTTCTCAATTTTCAAAATTCACAGAAATGTCACATTTTTCTAAAATCATGTTCTCGGTAATGTCATCTTCAAAACATTCTATTATTTTATTTTACTGAACGACATATCATTTGATAATCTTTATTTCAAAATTGACAGTTTAGCATATTTAGTGGAAAATGGGTTTAATAGAGCTATAAAAAACGAATTTTGAACATGAATGGGTCAAGTCTCCATTCTTCGTAAACGCTTAAATGATGAAAATGTAAATGCGAAATCTATTTCATTTGTCCAAAAAATGGAATCTGAACCCATTCTATATGAAAATCGAACTTTTCTGAAAAAATTTACGCTTCAACAAACCCGTTCATTTAAATCACAATGAAAGACATCAACAATGTATATACTTCGTAGCGTAGTGGTTAAACTGGTTGGTCTTGGACCCAATCTGCACTAGGGAGAGAGTTCGAATCATACGTGAAGCTTTTTTCCTTTTTTTGTTTTTTTAAATGTCTTAAAAACATGAGTGAAAAATAAATTATTTATAAATTATTTAAACAATGAAATACATAATTTGATGTGAAAAAATGATATAAACCATAAAATTTATAAAAAATACTACTTTTAGAATTGAGAGAAGTCTTTTTTCAGAGCGGGGGATTGTCCTCGCCTTGTACGCCTCCATTCTTTAGTAGAAATTTTTGAATTTTGTCAATTTCTCCAAATAATTCTGTACGGTAAGTTATATTGTGTGTATTTTAAGCATTTAATCCCCCTTTTTTTGCTAAAGAATAGATGTTTCTTCTATTAAAGCAGCTTAGTTAGATCAAACCATTTGAAGGGCATCATTTTTATGACTTTTAAGAATGTATTTTATGTTTTGGCTTGTGTGTTTTTTGCGAATAGGTAGGTAGGTTTTTGAAAGGTGGGTGGACGCTAAACAGGGAAAAAACTTGGAATGGCCTTAGCTTACTTCAAACAAAATTTCATCAGTATCAACTTGTAGATGAAAAATGTTGAAACAGTTTGTTTGTCCCAAAGGAAATTCTCTTCCATTAATGAATTATCAGTGTTGTGAGGGGTTGATTGATGTCAGTTCCATCGGCAAAGTACCGGGTATTTGTAAGCGGAATGGTGCAAACTGCAAAATGAAACACTTTTCATGAGAACCTGGAAAAACATCAGGTGGAAGTGATCAACTACATGAGTACAAGAAAAAAAGTGAATACTTTCTTAAATACTAGCATTAACAATGATGCAGTAAAACTCGGTTATAGAAAAAAGTCACTGAGGCTTATGAAATTACTTTGCTAAATTCATAATTCTTTATAACCGTTAAAAGATTTTTAAAATTTATATAGCATGAGAAACAAGATAACTTAGATATATAGATTGAATTCGCAATACATGTATCTGTGTTCTACTAAATGAGTTTTACTGTATAAATTTAATATGCCTGTTTACATCCTTTATATAGAAAACTAAATACACATGTATTATGTAATTGTAACTACCAAATATACAAATTAAACCATGACTTTCTTAAATTTGTTCTGAAGTGTATTTATAGTGTATTGAAATAAACATGCAATATTAGTCTTGTTATACTGAAGAATTTTTAAGAAAAGGTTATTCATTGAAACAATGTGCAAACATTCAGCACAGTTAGCAATTTTTATGCAGAACTTAAATGTTGAATGTGCATTTCATTTGTTTGGATGAATGTAAGGCACACAGAGGAGAAAAGTACTTGTTCACAAATGTTATTTACAGATTTATTTTTATTTAGAAAGTATATGACAAATTAAACTAGCATTTAAGGTATATGGTCCCTTGATTTGCCATGTTATGTGAGCTTTTGTGAACTTGATACTGAACTAGTAAGTTTTAAATATTGAAGTAAAGAAAAGTGCAGTGCTACATGTACGACAAATGAGAAAATTTCTAATATCTATATAAGGCGGATCCAGGGCAAGCGCGACAGGCATGTGCCCCCTATCCCTTTGAATTTTTAAATGAAATTTTGCTTATGCTATTCTAAAATCAAAGGGATAATGCCAGGTGTTCGAATTTCCTCAATTTTATGGGGGCTTTGCCCTTGCATTTCTGCCAAGTCTTTTCCCTTCCATGCAGCAACCAAATCCCTTTACCTACTACTGCGCCCCATCCCCCGTTATGAAATTCCTAGTTCCGCTGCTGCTAATTACTACATGTATATTTTAGGAAAAAATGCCTTCACATAATTTTAAGAGCATTTTGGAAGGGTTCATGAAGCTTTACAGTTAATATTGAAATTGAATACCGGGGTATATACATGCCTGTGTACATGCAAGAAGTAATGATTGACATTCTTATTTCTGGATCAACAGGACAGAGTACATAATTAGCTCATCTACTTTATACATGTATCTACTGTAATGATATATGCATAATATTATTAATAAATTAAATAACGAATGTTATCTCTATCAGGATTATGTTTAAATGTAGTTATCAACCCTTTTCCCCGTGATCGATGCATTTTGATACATGTACATGTATATGTACATGTATTTCCCATTTGTTTTCAATGTCTTTGCACACTATATCCCGACCTGATTCTATTGTCCCGTGAGCTAAATCAATGGAATAAAGTTATGGAACCAATCTTTGGGAAACCTTTTAGTTTGAAAACACGCTATTTCAATTTAAAAACTATTTTAATTTTCCTTTTATGCTTCAAAATATTCGCTAATCGTGCCCCATTCGGGATAGCTTGTATGTACGTCACTTTATAAAACAAAAAAGCAATTTAAGACTGTTTACCTGTTTAACTCAATCCACTTTCCCCTCTTCTTTTCAATAATCGGGCAACAAACGACATGACAGACTTTACTAGTCCGCTGCGAGGCTTAAAACCTAATGCGAAGCGGTAATCCATTGTCTCCAAGAACGCTGAGCTGCCCGGAAGTTATAAAACGAAAGTGAAAGTAAACGAGACTTTCCGACCCTATTTATAGTTCGCGCTAACAAGTAAAACGGCATTTGATTGGTCAGAATTTCCCTAAAGGCGGCGCTGTCGTCTGCACGATGGAGGAGCGGATCTATCTGTGGCCCCTTTCAGAAGAAAATCCTTATTTATTTGCCATTGAATAATAAATGTCTTCAGGATTATACTTGTCAATACATACCAAGCAAGAAATAGAGGATTTTTTTTGACAGTATAATTTTTTGAACGTTTAAATTTTTTTTTAACTGATAAAATAAAATACCCTGTGAAAAGTCTCACAGGGTGTGGATTTCTTTTTTTTCTTTTCCTTTTTTTAAGGTATCCAAATTACATGTATTTATGAATATCTACTTGTACATGGATACATAAATTAGCAGATCTATGGAAGTCTGAATCTCATTTTTGTTGTGATTTTTTAAAATTTAATATTTTGTTTTATAAAGTTTTTTCAAATGACAAAATTTCAGTTTCTTATAAAGATCACAATTAAAAGAAAAATCTAATACCGGTAGTACACTGCATGCATTTAGAAAATTCAAAAAGATTTTTTTTGACAATTGCAATTACATATAAAGTCTAAATTAAAGCTGGAAAAAATAAGTTAAACAATGTATAATGTACAGTCTGGAGAGGTAATACTGAGTAGTAGTTGTTCAGTCTAGTAGTACATACATTTTTCAGTATATACAAGAAAATATCCACAAAGTTATATACGACTTCAAAGTGCAGTGCATGACTGTGCATGCTGTTAATGTATACATACTGGTACCTATATGTACACTTAAATACTCAAATTTAATACACATCAAGCATATTAATATAGTTTTCGATCCTAATAAATCTGCTTATCTATTAAAAACATGAAGTAAATAATCAGAATCTTTGTTTAAAATAAAGGTGTGATGCTTCTATATTTTCAACCCTTGTGATAGTAACTCAGTCAAATGTTGGTCTGATGATTAGATTCATCCAGCAGGCACGTAGCATCGTTTTTGAAAGTGGGGGGGGGGGCAACCTGAGAAAAATTTATTTACTTACCTAAAAAAAGTTGACAAGCTAAAAAAAAAAAGAAAAAAAAAATTATCCAGACTCGAAAATCCTATTTCGTGGGAGGAGGGGGGGGGGGGGGGTAGTAGTGGCCAACTTTTTTCAAGGCAAACTTTTCAATAGACATTTTCTATAGTAAACGTATTGTTGGGGGAAAAAGTGGGGGGGCCCCCCCTGGTCCCCCGGATACTACGTGCCTGAGGAAGTATATCATCTGTCTGTAGTTTGGGTCCCAAGTTCGCCCTCTGACCTGGTCTTGACAATGATATTGTTCTTACTTTAGATGACATCATTATAATGTAATGGCAGTAATAACAGTTGAGAAATGAGTTGAGGTTTCTAGATAAGTGTACAGTTGTTAAATAAGTATATAAATCAAGAAGTGAAAGAAAAAGAATTGGTGCTGAGAAAAAGTTTATGAATTGATTATTATTTTTTTTTGAATTATTATTTGTTGGATATAACTAGTATTTTGGAACGAGTTTACTGTTATGTGTATAACTATAAAAGTTTAAGGTGTCATTGGACCTAGGTGTCTCACATTTCTTTGGCCTGGTATGTTGAACCCATTACTGGTTCAATGGCCCAATGCATGCCCCTCTTTTTTCCCACAAAGTTCTTCGACTTTAAGTGCTCTGGCTAGACAACCATTCATCTCATGATGAAATACTCAGTAGTATCTTGCATTATTTGAATGAAAAGTAATGAGGTACATGTAAGAGATGGGAAAACTTTTTTTCAAGAGAACTGAGTTCTTTGTTATGATTTTCTGACACTGACCATAGATCTACATGAAGCTAACCGTTTGCTTTAGGACTATATGCATTGACAATTTCAGAATTTAACTGATCAACTGATTTATCATTAAAAAATAAAATGTAGCAATTTTCTCTTCACGGCTCCGCCCTCATTAACGGTCACACCGTAAAACATATTAACAATTATCTTGCATTTCCCAAGCCAGGGACCTATATCATATAATAACACATTAGATACTAAAGTATCGTATATATGCCCTAAATGTAGAAGTTTTCTTTTAATTATGACATGATTGACTATTTAAACCATCTACATGTATATCTGTAAAGATTACGTTTAATACTTACTCTCCAGTGTTGAAGTTATTTTCAAAATTGTTACTGTACTCCACTTCTCCTTTCATAATTTCTTCCGGGAAGATGTGGATGTTTCTTAGGAATGTGTCACGGCAGATGAACAGACAGGAAGTTGAAAAACTACTTTACGAGAAGTTTTCGATATAAACATTATTTTCCCGGAAAACCTAGTGCGTAAGGGCGGGAAAAACAAATGATGTTCATTGGATGAAAGAAATATATTTTTTGCCTACCAAATTAAAATAAAAATGAATGAAATTTATATTTCTTGTTGAACTATACAATTTTGAACAGATAAGAATTAAACATTTATTTATTATTATTTATTTATCCAGTAAAAATATTTTTACTTCAGTAAAATTATTTTTACCCAAGTAAAATTCTTTTTAATCCCGGTAAAAATAATATACTCCTTTACAGGAGTGAAAATGCAATGTAGCCATTTAACTCACAATTTATGAATTTTACTCCTGTAAAAATATTATTACTGTAGTAAAAATATAACACTGGCCATATAAGTAAAAATTAACCAATCACAGTCCATGTAAGAAAATTGGTGACCCACAGGTCAACAGGGAAACTCCCAGGACTGCTTACACATGACATTTAGTAATGGAGAGGTTCTGTGCACTAAGTATATGACATGGCCTAGAATATAGTTCATTTACAAACAACCAAGCCATACTTCAATATGTTAATATAGCTACATGTATAAACAAATACAAATTTCACCATTACAATTATTTTTTGTATTTTCATCTCAAAGAAGACCACTTTGGTTAAATGGGTGAATTATTGAGTGAGAATACAGATATACCTTAAACCACTATATAGAAATCCTGGATTAAATTCATAATTATATAAGAAATCCTTTAGGTTTAACTTGTTTTTATATTCTTATCTTTCTTTATTTAATTTTCCAAAAGACTATATTTACATCGTAGCCTGAGTTACATTTACACCACATGTATACACAGTATTGTGAGCTAAGCTTAGAGGTGTATTATCGTTGATTTATTTTTTACTTTATCATGTTTTAATTATCATGTTATTATTTTTTTCCCTCGTTTTTGCACAGAATATAGATATCTGAGAGTAACTGATATATTGACCTATATCTTCTTGTTTGAACATATGTCGACAATACCTACACTGTAAACGATACATTCGAAATTATGTGGACTAGAATACTATAACTTTGGAAAGAAAAGACACATAAGTAGGAAAAAGCTGCTAAACGCACACAGTCATTGATGGTGGCCCCGTGGGGATCCGGGTTAGAATAGGTCCTCAGTACCCCCTTGCTTGTCGTAAAAGGTGACTAAATGGGGCGGTCCTTCGGATGAGACCGTATAAACCGAGGCCCCGTGTCACAGCAGATGTGACACGATAAAGATCCCTCCCTGCTCAATGGCCGTAAGTGTCGAGCATACTAGGCCTAAATTTGCAGCCCTTCACTGGCAATGGTGACGTCTCCATATCGGTGAAATATTCTGGAGAGGGACGTTAAACAGTAAACAATCAATCAATCAATCATTGATGGTGTGTTTATTAGCTCACCTATGCCGAAGGCTCAAGTGAGGTTTTCTGATCAAAATTTGTCCGTTGTCTGTCGTTGTTGTTGTTGTCGTTGTCGTCGTCGTCGTAGTCGTTGTAAACTTTTCACATTTTCATCTTCTTCTCAAGAACCACTGGGCCAATTTTAACCAAACTTGCCACAAAGTATCCTTAGGTGAAGGGGATTCAAGTTTGTTCAAATGAAGGGCCACGCCCTTTTTCAAGGGGAGATAATCATGAATTTGTTAAAAATTAATGGCATTTTTAAAAAATCTTCTTCTCCAGAACCGCTGGGCCAGGAAAGATGAAACTCATGTGAAAGCATCCTTAGGTAGTGTAGATTCAAATTTGTTCAAATCATGACCCCCGGGGCAAGGGTGGGGCCAAAATGGCCGACCCAAGTTTTACATAGGAATATATAGGAAAAATCTTTAAAAATCTTCTTCTCCAGAACCACTGGGCCAGGAAAGATGAAACTCATGTAGAATCATCCTCAAGTAGTGTAGATTCAAGTTTGTTCAAATCATGACCCCCGGGGCAAGGGTGGGGCCAAAATGGCCGACCCAAGTTTTACATAGGAATATGTAGGAAAAAGCTTTAAAAATCTTCTTCTCCAGAACCACTGGGCCAGGAAAGATGAAACTCATGTGGAGTCATCCTCAGGTAGTGTAGATTCAAGTTTGTTCAAATCATGACCCCCGGAGCAAGGGTGGGGCCAAAATGGCCGACCCAAGTTTTACATAGGAATATATAGGAAAAATCTTAAAAAATCTTCTTCTCCAGAACCACTGGGCCAGGAAAGATGAAACTCATGTGGAATCATCCTCAGGTAGTGTAGATTCAAGTTTGTTCAAATCATGACCCCCGGGGCTAGGGTGGGGCCAAAATGGCCAACTCAAGTTTTACATAGGGATATATAGGGAAACCTTTTAAAATACTTCAAAGCTATGATTAGTGATATTAATTTTATATGGAATCATCCTCAGGTAGTGTAAATTCTAGTTTGTTCAAATGATGAACGCCTGGAGGGGGGGAGGGGGGTAAATTTAAGCCTGATGTGCTCAGGTGAGCGCTGTGGCCCCTGGGCCTCTTGTTTCTTCTTACAATGATTCCTCTTTCATATTTTCTGTTGTTTATTTGTGATGTCTTACGTATGTCATGTCTCCATTTCCTTGTTTTAAGTTTCATCACATACTTTTCTATTGGTTGATATTTACTTCAGTAAAAATATTTAATTGTGGGTTGAAATGGCCAGTGTTATATTTCTACTACAGTAAAAATATTTTAATTGTGAGTTAGATAGGTGAAAAAAGTTTCCATGGATTGTTTTTATATCAATCTTTATCTATCATCCTTAAAATGAGTTTTGAAGGTCCGCTTTTGACAATAA